TGTTGTTTTCTTGAAATTACATGCCCAGCAAATTAGAGGTTCCTACAAATGCATTATACTTGCAAACAAATCAATAAAGGAAGAGTGGCTTCACTAATAACAAAAGCCATACACAGAGAAGCAAATAATTTGAATATTGAAAGTGCTGCTGTGGTGGCAGTTTCTAGGTGCAACATACTGGTTGAGGACGTTAGATGTTCCTGGAATTGAGCTTTAAAGGGTACAGTACACATGCTGATTACATTGTAATAGCATAACACCTGTACCCACATCCTGGACTACTTGGACTGGTCTTGATGGTTACCCATTCATGGGCATTGTGTTATAATAAATCTATACTTGATTTCATTGTTTCTGTCCAGTGGCCTTACGTGTTTGGTCTGTGTTTTTTTTTCTGGATGGACTCCACCCTATTGCCCCAATAACCTTTTTGGTTATAGTAATTAGGGTGTGTGGATGTGCATGGTGTGCGAATACTGGCTGTACAGCTGCCAGTGATGACATGACAACGTTGTCTTTTTACTTTATTTGGTTGTGGTGGTGGGGAAGTAATTTATACTCTTTTAGTGTAGTGTAGTTTTTGATATTTATCAAATCCTTGTATTTTCAAAGCCACATGATCTGCTTCGTAACCTTCCTTTTGGGCTTTCCTTAGCTAATTCTTTTTTTTTTGTAGATCTATTTTTGAGTTACGTCGATTTCACAACTTGTTGTATTTTAATGTATTAAGTAATGAGTCAGCTGGTCCTGAGTGGTAGACATTACTATGCATTCATATTCTACTATGCTGCAAGGCATTGGCTTTGTGTTGGTTCCAGGAGTTGGTTTTAGGTTTTATTGGCATATCTGCATCAAACAGCATGGTTCTTGCACTTTCACATAGTGTACAGTTCATTCTTTCTGCACCCCGTTTTGTTCTGGGCTGTGTGGCACAGCAGTTTGCAATATTATGCCATGCTTTCTGAGAATCTCCTGTGTTATCACCTGTATATTCAGTCCCCATTGTATGTGTGCTAAAACACTCAGCATTTTGCCAAATTTGTTGCTTACTTGAGTCAAATACTGTTCAAGTTTCTCTGATTCTTCACTTTTTGTTGTGTAACAGATATAGAGTAGTATACCTGGAGTAGTCATCTATAAAAGTGCTAAAATACCATATTTTTCGCTCCATAAGACGCACTCCCCCCCCCAAAAAAATGGGGGAAAATGTCTGTGCGTCTTATAGAAAGAATTTGGAGCGGCCAGCCCGGTATTCCCGCCGCCGCCGATGTGTTAGAATACGGGGCCGGCCGCTCGGCTCTACTGTGAACAAGAACCTGCTCCTCCGCCCTACCTCTTCCTCGGTTCAGCGGTTGTGTCCTGCTTCCATTGGCCTTCTTCTCTCCCCTCGCGCAAGCATCTTCAGTGTGAGCACCCAGCTGTGACAGCTTGCGGCTTCACAGCCGGGTGCCCACTGCGTTATGAGCGAGAAGCGCTGCACTTTGTGAATGGCCCTGTAGTCTTGTGGGACCTGTCATGTGTCCCATAAGACTACGGGGAGTAAGGGGGGAGGACAAACTCCGCGGGAAGTGGGAGCTGGTACCTGTCAAATTCAGGTACTCGCCCCCCTCCCCAAACGTCCGCAGTCTCTTGGTCATCTCCTGTACTATGTCTTTAGTCTGGTCATCTCCTGTACTATGTCCGCAGTCTCTGATCATCTCCTGTAGTATGTCCGCAGTCTCTGGCCATCTCCTGTACTATGTCCGTAGTCTCTGGTCATCTCCTGTACTATGTCCGCAGTCTCTGGCCATCTCCTGTACCATGTCCGCAGTCTCTGGTCATCTCCTGTACTATGTCCGTAGCCTCTGGTCATCGTCCTGTACCATGTCCGCAGTCTCTGGTCATCTCTTGTACTATGTCCGCAGTCTCTGGCCATCTCCTGTACTATGTCCGCAGTCTCTGGTCATCTCCTGTACTGTGTCCGCAGTCTCTGGCCATCTGCTGTACTATATCCGCAGTTTCTGGTCAATCTCCTGTACTGTGTCCGCAATCTCTGGCCATCTCCTGTACTGTGTCCGCAATCTCTGGCCATCTCCTGTACTATTGTCCGCAGTCTCTGGTCATTTCCTGTACTATGTCCGCAGTCTCTGGTCATCTCTTGTACTATGTCCGCAGCCTCTGGTCATCTCTTGTACTATGTCTCCAGTCCATTGGTTCAGAATTTTCTTTTCTTGTTTTCCTCCTCTAAAATCTAGGTGCGTCTTATGGAGCTGAAAATACGGTACCTCTTCTTTCCTGGAGTAAATTTTTCCATTGGACTGCAAATATTCTGAATGAATTAAGTCCAGAGGTTTTTAGCTCTACTGTTACTTTGCTTAGAAAAAGCCTTTTCTTGTCATTTTTCCTTTTATACAGATGGTGCATTTCATTGTTTTGTCACATGGACTAATTTTTATTCCATTTGCCGTCATTCTCAGTTAATTTCTTTATTTTGCCCAAGTCGTCTGTGGCATGTATGAATGCAGTTTGAATATTTTTCCCCCTTGGCAGTGTTATCCACCTTATTGCAGTTAAGCTGATAAAGCTCATCTGTGATTTTATCCTTTGCGAGTAAGCAATTTCCTTTTGTGATGGCACATCTTGGAAGGTCGCTACATTGCCTTGTTTAGTCATCTTCTTCACTGACAAAAGATTAGTTTCAAGAGCAGGGACATACATGACATTTTTCAAAGTTATCTTTCTGGTGACACTCTGGGAAACAGGAAAGTTAAACAAAATGTCTCCTATTCCCTCTCGTTCCATTATTTGCCCATTAGCTGTGGTAATGTTTTCTTTTTTACTCTGGTCAAGGTGAATGAAGACATTTCTATCATTTTGTCATATGACTTGTAGCTCCTGAATCAATGCACCATACCTGCAAATTCTGGATTGAAAAATATATGAATTATCTGAAGAACAATCAGTTTTGGCTTTTTGTAGTTTAGTTTGCTTTTGCATTGTAGCTTTCCAGATTCTGCAATTGGCGTTTAAGTGGTCTTATTTCTTGCACACAAAGCAATCACGTGTTTCTTATTGCTTGTTACTGTTTTTATTCCTATTTTTCATCTTTAAAGAAGACTCTGCGACAGAAGCACCATCACTATTAATGCTTTCTGTTTTACGCCTATATTCATCCATAAGCTTGCCCTTAACATATTCCAAGGTTAGTTCATCATCTGGACATGTATCAAGTGCTGTGACAAGTGTTTCATAACTTTCTAGTAAACCACTAAGTAATAGTGCTGCAACATGAAAATCTTTTATTTCTTCCTATACCTGTCAGGGACCACGGCTCCATGGTCCGCGATCGCGGCTCCGTCCCTCGCGCATGAGCAGTGGCGGCGGATCGCGCCGGGACACAGGCACTAGGTCCCGGCGAGCCGCGGCTGACAGGACGCCGCGCGACATGCGCAGTAGGAGCCGCGGGCGCGCCTCAGGCGTCCAATGACAGCCGGGGGCGCGTCCTAGCCGGGCCAATGACAGTGCAGGGCGCACTATTTAAAGATGCCCTGCACTGTCACAGATTGCCGCAAGGTCTTCCTGTGAGGTCTTCCTGTGATCCTGAGTTCCTGCACCTATCTTGTGACCCTGATTGACCCTGACTATTCTGCCTGCTCCTGCGTTTGACCCGGATTGTCCTGACTATTCTGCCTGCTCCTGTGTTTGACCCGGATTGTCCTGACTACTCTGCCTGCTCCTGCGTTTGACCCGGATTGTCCTGACTATTCTGCCTGCTCCTGCGTTTGACCCGGATTGCCCTGACCATTCTACAGATTGACTTCCCTGCTGACCCTGCGTGTGACCCGACTACTCTCGCCTACCGATTCTGTACCCCGCTTACCCTCACGGGCCCACGATCCGTTACTACCCTGCTGGGGCCGCCATCCTCTTCATATCTGGCTCTCTCCGGTACCTGTCCCCAAGGGTCTCCTCAGCCACTGGCGGGCCTGCTCGGAGGTCGTGACCTGGCCCGGGACTGTTTCAAGTCCATCCCCACCATCAGGGGCTCTGGTGAAAGCAGAGCCCGGGCTTAGACCCCACGCTCTGAGTAGGTCTGTCAGTTGGCAGCCTGAGGCACCACCTGGCGGATCATAACAGTACCTTGCGGCCATGACAGAGCCAGGAAGTGGACCGGCGTCCCTAGAGGATATTTGTCAGCACCTGGCCACCTTGACCCAGGCTTTTCAGAACTTCCACAGTCGCTGCGCCCGACTGGAGGACCGCATGGAGTCAATAGCCCCCCTGACTCCCCCTGCTCAGAGTCCTCCACCTGCAGGACCTCCCGCTAACCCGGTATCCGGAGCGGTTGCCACATCCCTAGCTCCTGAACCCCGCGTTCCTCTGCCGGAACGATTCCGTGGTGATCGGAGCCGCTTCCGAGCCTTCCGGAACGCCTGCACCCTATACTACTTTGACTTACAACCCCGCACGTTCACCACTGAGACCGTCAAGGTGGGGTTTATAGTCTCCCTCCTTCAGGATGAGCCCCAGGATTGGGCTCACCGTCTGATGGAGAAGCACGACCCCCATCTTGACTCCGTGACCGAGTTCTTTCGGGCCATGGCCGTCTTGTATGACGACCCTCAGCGAGCTGCTTCCGCTGAAGCGACTCTATACTCCCTGCGGCAGGGCCGCCGGACAGCCGAAAGAATACGCGTCCGATTTTAGGCGTTGCATGGTCGACACCAGATGGAACGATGCGGCCTTATGTCACCAGTTCCGCATCGGGCTGTCTGAGCCTCTCAAGGACGAACTAGCGCGAGTAGGCCTACCTGACTCCCTGGAAAAACTGATTGAGTTGGCCATTCAAATTGACCGTAGACTAAGGGAACGTCGGCTGGAAAGGAGCAGTCAGGGTCAAAGGGTGGCATGGATTCCTTCCAGAGATACAGCTCCAACCCCAGGGAACCATCCGCAAAGCACGGAAACAGGGGACAACCCGGAACCCATGCAGCTGGGATTGGCCCGTTCTCACTTATCGGTCGAGGAACGTCAAAGGAGACTATCACAGAACCTATGTCTGTACTGCGGGGAAGCTGGTCATCAGGTGCGCTCCTGTCCTGCTAAAATGAGTAAGTCCACGCCCGTTTCTTTTAGTCTACCCGCAGGAAGGGATGATCAGTCGAGTTACCTGGCCATTCCTGTGTCTTTACAGCTCCCCGGAGGAACATTGTCGGTGACCGCAATCGTTGACTCAGGAGCCTGTAGTTGCTTCATCGATCTGACTTTTGCCCAAAAAAATCCCTCTCCAGACCAAAGAAAGGGGGTTCAACATCTTCTTGGCAGATGGGTCTCGTATAAAATCAGGGGTGGTGGACCAGGAGACACCACCCATTTTCACCACAATGGCAGACCATCACCAGGAGTTCCTCCGTTTGGATGCCATCGCATCCCCCCTTTTTCCAGTCATTCTGGGCCTCCCTTGGCTGAGGGCCCATAACCCCCAGATTGACTGGGAAAAGGGAACAGTTCAATTTTGCTCACCCTATTGTTTAAGTCACTGCCACGTCACAGGATCCGTGGTTCCCCGGTTCCTCCTGTGCTTGGATGGTGACACCGATCTATCCCAGGTTATTCCCCGGCCTACCATGACTTCTTAGACGTCTTTAGTAAGCGAGGAGCTGACGTTCTCCCTCCGCACCGTTCCTACGACTGCCATAGACCTCCTACCCGGATCTGAAATCTCTTTCGGCCGTATCTTTCCCTTGTCCGAAGCAGAATCAGGAGTACTGAGGGAATACATTGATGAGAACCTGCGGAAGGGATTTATTCGTCCATCCACATCCCCAGCCGGGGCCGGGTTATTCTTCGTAGAGAAGAAGGACAAATCGTTACGGCCCTGCATAGACTACCGTGACCTGAACAAAAAATAACGGTAAAGAATCGTTATCCTTTACCCCTAGTCCCCGAGCTCCTCCAGAGATTGAGATCGGCAACGATATTCACTAAATTAGACCTGCGGGGGGGGGCCTATAACCTTGTCCGTATCAGGGAGGGGGATGAGTGGAAGACGGCGTTCCGTACGAGATTCGGTCACTACGAGTACTTGGTGATGCCGTTCGGGCTCTGTAATGCACCGGCGACCTTTCAGCACTTTATCAATGATGTTTTTCGTGACCTTCTTGATATTTTTGTGTGGTGGTTTATTTGGATGACATCTTAATTTTTTTCCCCTTCACTGGAGGTTCATCGGGGTCACGTGATACGGGTATTAGAACGGTTGCGTCAACACGGGCTATACGCAAAGGCAGAAAAGTGCTGTTTCGAACAGCACGAAACCACATTCTTGGGACTGGTTCTCTCTTCGACGCGGGGGTCGCGATGGTCCCCAGAAAGTCACGCGATCTTAGATTGGCCAATACCCGCCGACAAAAAGGGGGTACAGCGTTTCATCGGTTTTTTCAACTTTTACAGGAAGTTTATTAGGAACTTCTCCGGTCTGGTCTCCCCGATCACGCAACTGACGAAACAAGGGGTCCGCTTTAAGTGGACTCCCGAAGCGCAGACAGCCTTCGAAAAGCTCAAAGAATTGTTCACCTCTGCTCCCATTCTCTGCCATCCAGATGCTTCTCTCCCATATGTGTTGGAAGTGGACGCCTCCGAAAATGCTGTAGGGGCGGTTTTGTCCCAAAGGAATGGTACCAAGGAACTTCTGCACCCTGTGGCGTTCTTCTCCAGGAAGTTGACTCCAGCGGAACGCAACTACGACATTGGAGATCGGGAGCTCCTGGCCATTAAAACTGCTCTTGAAGAATGGAGGTATTTACTGGAAGGAGCCACACACCCAATCCTAATATTCACAGATCACAAAAACCTTGAATATTTGAGAACGGCAAAACGACTGAGACCTCGCCAAGCGAGATGGGGCTTTTCTTCTCTCGATTCTCATTCCATATAACGTACCGACCCCGTACTAAGAACACTAAACCAGACGCTCTGTCCCGCATGTTTGAGGACCCCGACGACGCTGTGCTACCTGACACCATCTTACCTTCTGGGAGTTTCCTCGCTCTACAAACGGAACTTCGCTCCCGACTTCTTGATGCTTCTGTAGGACTACCAGTTCCGTCTGAATCACCCCTCCAGAGCCACGGTGGGCTAATTTGGAAGGAAGACCGGATCATGGTCCCAGAAGAAGTGCGAACCCTGGTCCTAGGGCACTGCCACGACCATCCTATGGCGGGCCACTTCGGGGTAACGAAGACGCTG